CATCTCAGGAGCCCGGTGCTACCGGCCAGCCGGCGCTGCCGGCGGCCGCGCGGCCCGCGCCCGCCGCGGCTCCGACGGCGGCAGGCGGGGCCGCCGCTGAGGCAGGCGCCCCCCAGAGGCTGGCCGCCTTGGTCCTGCAGGATATTGCTGTGCCGCCCGCGCTGAACGCATCTGACAGCGCGTCTGAGGCCGCGGCGGCTGCACTGGCAGTGCAGACCGCCGCCATTTTTGCCTACGAAGAGGCGGTGCGCGCAGCCGAGGCGCTTGGCCTGCCCCCCGCGCGCGTCGACGCGGTGTGCGCGGGGGTGCAGGCGGCGACTGAGGAGGCGGTCGGGTGCCGGCGGTTTCTGGGGATGGAGTATCCGCGGCTGCGGCGCGCGTGCGCGGCGGGGGCGGTGGAGACGGCGGTGGCGTGGATGGAGAGGATGGCGGGCGCGGGCGCCGGCTGTCGTTGAAGCGGCGTGCCCGCGCGCCGCAGGGCTTGTTGCATTGCTTGATGCTTGCCATATCAGGGTGGTGGTGCCGTTTTTTGGTGGCAGGTGTTGTCGTCAATGTCACCTTACCGTTAGTCCACGGGTGCCACTTACTTTGCTGCAATGAAGCAGGTGCTTGGTACCGTCCCCTGTCAAGTCTGAAAAATCGAATGCGATCGGTGCGTGTCTCTTTCTTGCAAGTGCAGTTGACTGATTTTGCGTGTAATAATACGCGAGGCTGTACGCTTTCTGAGTCCGCAGGCAGCAGCCGCACCAGCAGAAGCTGCCCAACAGGCTGATGCAGATGCCTCAGCTTTGCCACCAAGTTTCAGCCCGCTGCAACTGCTAGTTGACCGCCAGCAGCAGCAGCGGTACAGTAGGTGGGAATGTGCCATGCACCCAGCACGCCCATAGCCGGCCAGGCAGACCTGGATGCATGGACGGGTTGGCTGAAGCCTGCATTGCAGCTGTACCCCAGCCGCCTGGGCTGCCAGGACTAGGTCGGCCTATATGAGTGGCGGATGGCCCATTGATGTCGCGGCGGCTAGCAGATCCGGGGCCAGTCTGCAGCAAGTGTGGGGAGGGCTGCTGTGCGGAACCCTGTCCGGGTTCTGAATTTCTTCAGGCTGCTGCTGCCTGCAGGCTGCTTCGGTCATCAGGCTGCTTGCTTTCTCCAGGTGCTCAGAGACTGTAGGGCACACCCATGTGAACGAATGAGCAAAATTGATTTGCACAGGGCCTGAGCACTTGCCATGGCCTGGCGTTTGGGATGGCGAGAGGTCAAGCCAATCCAGTCAGCCTGGCTTTGCGGCTTGCTCCAAGAATAATCAAGGCCATCTATGTACATACTTCTCCCCGCCCCACCGTCGCCTCGGCTTGTTCTGCTCACGTCCGAGCACACACTGCGCGCCATTGCCCCCTCGTGCCACAGCCCGACTAGCTGACCTTTCTGCAACCCAAGCCCAGAACCCCCCTGCTGCTCTGCTCGACTCGCCGGCACACTCGCGTGATGTGTGATACTAGTTTCGGTAGGACGAATACGGGCAGGGCATACATCACTCGTTCTGTGCACTCTGCTGCCTGCTGCACACTTGCTAACTCGCGCACCCGGTGACGGCCTCCAGGTAGTTGCGGTGTCCTGTCACAATGGCCACGAGCTTTGTACAACCATATGATTTTTGAGTTGCCTGGCCCCGTGTGTACTTTTGCCTCCCCCCGCAAAGCCCTGGAGACTTCCCGTTTACAAGGGAGCACCTCAGGGGTCAATCGACTCACGCATCACTGCATCAGTCATCAATGGCGGAGTGGCAGACATGCAAATCGCATCTGAGCCGCAGCTGGTGCTTTCGAGTTTCACTTGTACGTAGCAAGCCGTCGACAGTACCTTGTCAGATAGCCTAGGCCCACGCCGTCGCAGATCACGAGACCGCCCGCCACACGGATTTCTCAGCATGCAGCTTACCCGTAACTCTGCGCTTTCTCTGGCTTCGGCCAAGCGGCCCATGCTTGCCCCGCGCGTGGCGCCTCGGCCCGGGTATGTCGATCTGGCAGCTTGTAGCGCGTCTTGCCCTCGTATGGGATATTTGAATCTAAAGCTTTCTGTCGCGCCGCAGGTACAAGCCTTGCAGGAGTGCGGAGGTCGACCAGCTGACCGGCGTGGTGTTTCAGCCGTTCTCCGCGGTGAGCGGCCATGCAGTGGCATACGAAAATATTAGGAAACTGGCAGCTCCGCTGTCGCGCCGTCTTTGCGGCTGATGGCTTGCCTGCACTCGAGTGTGTGGCCCGCCACCCTGTCGCGGCTGCACGCGCTCGGCGCACGCCGGCTGGCCAGGCGCGTCGCCGCAGGAGCAGCCGCGCCTGGACAAACAATACGCTGCAAAAGTTTGTGTCCGTTGCTGCGCTGAGCAAGCGCACGTCTGCTGTCGCAAGGCATGCTGCCAAAACGTCCCTGGGTGGCAATGCCCTCTGCGCAGCCCACTCCCCTTTCGAATTCGCGCTGGTGCCCTGCACAACCCATGCCATCCCTGAAATTGTATATGTTCAGGTCCAGAGTGAGCTAGCTGTCGTTGACAAGGCCAAGGAGCAGGTGGAGTCCTTTGCGCGCGTCAGCTTTTCCCCTGCCAGCGAGGCGGCCATCAACGAGCAGATCAAGTGAGCAGGGAGCGGCGGCGGCGGATGGACTGCAGCAGCGGATGCAGCCATCAGCTGCAGCAGCAGCAGCAGCAGCAGTGGCATCTGCACAGCGGCTTGCGCTTCCCCACGGCCATCCTTCCCTACTTCGTCTGACGCGGCCACCGCGCCAGCAATGCCCCTCCGCAATGTCAACACCACCCAAACCAACCGCGCGCCTGCCATGTATCGTTCCTAAAGCACACCCTCCAAAAATCGCCGCTTCTCCCACCCAAAGCATCGAGTACTCTGTGAGCTATGTCTACCACTCCCTCTATGCCTACTTCTCCCGCGACAACGTGGCGCTGCCCGGGTTTGCGGCGTTCTTCAAGGCCGGCAGCGAGGAGGAGCGGGAGCACGCGGAGCTGCTGATGGACTACCAGGTGCGCTGTGCTATGCTGTGCATGCTGTGCTACGATGTTCGTGCTGCGGTGTGCATGCTGCCCGGTGCGTGGCGTGTTGTGCCGTGCAGTGCCGCGCTGTGCTGTGCTGTGCTGTGCTGTGCTACGCTGTTCGCGCTGTGGTGTGCATGCTGCGCGGGGCAAGGCGTGTTGTGCTGCGCTGTGATGTGATGTGCACGCAGAGCGTGCGTGCTGTGCGTGCTGCTTGGTGCTTATGGGGTGCGCTGCTGTGGCGCGATTGGTCAATGGTGTTGGTGGCGGCGGTGATCAGGGGTCGGTAGGTGGAGGCTGCGCATGCGGGCCGGGGCGTGCCTGCGGGCTGCACGCTGCGGTCAGGGGGCACAGCCGCGCCCCAGCAACCCGGGTGTGCCTCACGCATTGGTACTGCTTGAAACAGGCACGCATCCCTTCTTTGCCAATACACACTGCCGACAGAACACCCGCGGCGGCCGCGTGCGCCTGTCGTCCATCATGATGCCCGAGGTGGAGTTCAACCACATCGAGAAGGTGAGGGGAAGCTGGCAGAAGCTGCGGAGGCGCGACCCCGGGGGAGGTGGGGAGCAAGGCGAAACCACACATGCATCTGAGCAAAGAGAGACAGAGACACACACACACACATGCACACACACGCACGCACGCGCGTGCGCGCGCGCGCGCGCACACACACACACACACACACACACACACACCCCTTGTGCACTCTAAAGCCCTGCACCCTCGGCCGCCCTGATTCAAATCACCAGGGTGACGCCCTGTACGCCATGGAGCTGGCGCTGTCCCTTGAGAAGCTGAACTTCACCAAGCTGCGGCAGCTGCACGACGTGGCGGACGCTGAGGGTGACGCCCAGATGTGCGATTTTGTGGAGGGCGCGCTGCTGGCCGACCAGGTGCGGGGGGGCTGGGCGCGCGAGCCTCCGCATGCGCGCGCGCGCGAGGGGGGAGAAGGTGGAAGGGAGGGAGGGAGGGATGGACGGAGGGAGGGGGAGCGAGTGCGAGTGTGTGCGCATGTGCGAGTGTGTGTGTGTTGCAGGGCGCATGTGCACGCGTTGCGCGTGTGCACGTTTGTGTGCGTGTGCATGTGTGTGTGCGCGCGTGTGTGCACGTATAGCGTGCATGCCTGACTGCGGGCGAAAATGAGAGGGTGTGAGCGAAACCGGGTGGTGTGTTTTTGCTCCAGTGTTTGTTTGCACTCTTGAGCGTGAGCGCGTGGGCGTGCACCAGATCCACACTACAACCCAAGGCCCGCCTCAATCGGCCGGAACCCCAGCTGCCACCCTGAGATTCCCTATCTCCCAACCCCAAACACCCAGGTCAAGAGCGTGAAGCAGGTCGCCGAGTTTGTCAGCCAGCTGAGGCGGGTGGGCAAGGGCCTGGGCGTCTACGAGTTTGACCGCAAGCTCGCGGACCTCGTGGCGGCTGGCGGCGTCGCCTAAGACGGCGGCCGTCCTCGGCGGCCCCGCCGCGCCGCGGCCGCGCGCTCGGCGCCGAAGGCTGCCGCGCGCCGGCTGCAGCGCGCCGCGATGGGGGGCGTCCTGGGGCTGGCGGGCAAGGAGGCCCGAGCGTGAGGCTAGAAGCTATTGCGCGGTGGCCGCGAGCCGCCGCGGAGCCCTGCACCTTATCACACCACAAGCTTTGATACTCATTGCACAAAAACATACATGCGCATCGCGCCGCGCGCCCATGTGCGCACATACATGCACGCAATGCATACATGCCCGCTGCGCCGCGGCCGTGACCGCGGCCGTGGCTTTAGTCACCTCTATCACAACCCCGCCAGCACTCGCTGCGCAGCTGCTGCGCTCGTCGTCAGCGCCGGTTTTGCCGTGCGTCTCGCTGGGGGGCGGCGGTCGAGCGGCGCCATGCGGCCGCGGCTTCGAGCAGGGACATTGGTTACTTGGAATCCTGAGCACGGCCGCCACTCGCCACGAGCGGGCTGGTTTGCTGGTGCACTCCTCTTTAATATCCTTTTTAGGGGGGAGCTGCCGTTTCATTGGTGGCCTGGACAGTAAAACCTGAATTTCATCATCTGCGACGCGCCCGGCGCCCAGCTCTTCACTGCGGCCGCCGCCGGCGCTTCGACGGGCAAAGCATCGCTCACCTTGAGTAACATTATCTCTGTCTGTGCCTCTGTCACCGCCCTGCTGAGCGACTTCTCATTCAGCGGCGGGGCTGTCACCGCGCCAGGCACAGTACTGAAGTACAGGTCGGCGACCAGGGTGGCGGGAACGCTGGCCTGGCAGGACACAGAGGTGTTGTTTTCGCAAGCGCAAAGCCGTCATTTGCACAGGAGAATAACTTCTGTGTGACGCAGGGGTGTTCCATGTGCGGAGCTTTGCCCTCATCCCACCCATTGAGTCATGCGGCTGGGCGCGCGGCCGACCACTCGCTCCCACACGTGCGTGCTCCGCAGTTGCGCCGTGATACTTCCTATCATCTTTTCTGCTCAAGTCTCACTCGACACGGCTGGTTGGACACCGGTCAGGTTGTGGTCGCTGCATGCAGTGCCACGGTTCGTCGGGAATGCTGGGAGCGACAGTATCAGCACGCATTTCATCATGATATAAGGATCAATATATCAATTCCACGATTGTAAGAGCTACCAGTGATAATTACCATGGCTGGTGAGACTGGCAGCAACAACGTGCGTCAAACAGCATATTAGCTTCATCAGTCGTCTAAAAAATCAACGAAATTCAAACTTGGACCAAATTTATTATGAAGGCCCCACTGCTGCCGCAGCCAGCAGCGGCCGTGCGCACCAGCCGCGCGCGGCTAGTTCGGCGCATCGCGGCGCTCCTCCTCCTGGCCGGCATGCTGCTCGCCGCGCTTTCAATCAACAGGCGGCAGCTCGAGCCGCAGCACCATCCGCTGCAGCCGCACTACTACTCGGCCGCCCTGCGGCCCCTGAGGCGGTACCTAGCAGACCACCCCGATGACATGTTGGCGCCCCTGCTGAGCCAGCTGGAGCGATCGCCGCCGGCCAGTGTTGAGGATGCGCGGCAGGTGTACGCGGCCGCGCTCGAGCGCCTGACGTGGTGAGCCGCCCCCTGACCCCGCGTGCGCATGTCGAAGGCGGCGCGCGTCGAGTGCTGAAGGGCGCCCGCCCCACTCACGTCGCGCCGCAAGCGCTGCGGTCGCGGCAAGCCCTTCCCAACATCGCACTCCTGTCCGCGGGGTCCCGCTGGCGCCTTTGGCAGGCCAACGGGCACGTGCGCTGACGCACCTCCGGCCGCGGAGCCGCAGCCGCTGACGCACCAGCCAGCGCCCACGACCCCCGCGCCCCCGTGCGCGCCCCGCAGGCCCGGAAGCTGCGCGCCCGCGCGGCCGCCCCTCTGGCAGGCCCTGACCGGCCGCGGCTCCGCGCCCGGCAGCCTGCCCGCCTTCCTGGACGCCGCCTTCGCGCTGCTCGCCTCCGAGAGCCGCGGCCGCCTGATCGACTGCCCCGAGGATCCCTCGCTGCCCCACGGCGGCGCGGGCGCCGCCGCCGCCGCCGGCCGCGTCGCGATCGTGAGCAACCTGCGGAATGCGGAGGGCGCGGCGCCAAACATGGTGCTGCAGGTGCTCCGGACGGCGCTCTGGCTGCCGCCGGGGTCGGCGTTCGTGCTCATCTACGAGGACGGCTCCACAGACGCGACGCGCCGGTGGCTGGGCCTGCTGCAGCTGCTGCTCGCGCCGGCGGGCGTGCCCTTCAGGGTAACCTTGGACGGCGGGCTGCTGAGGGCGCCGGGAGAACCTCGGATTGCGCACCTCGCGCGGCTGCGCAACGCTCTGGTGGACCCCTTCTTCGCGCCGCAGCCGGCCGTCCAGGCGCAGTGCGCCGAGCTGCGCATGGCGCGCGCGGCGCGGCGCGCGGC